CGGCGATCCCGCGCGGCGGCGAACCGCGAGGGGGTTTGCGTTGGACCCGCGACCCGCAGCTCACGGGTCTCACGGGGAGACGACCCTTGGCCAGGCATCTCTTGGCAGGCACCTCACCCGCCCAGCGCCACTTCTAGCGGAGCCCGACTGCTGCTGCTGATGATGATGATGATGAGACACTTTATGTCGAAACCGGAGTGTTGTTTGTGTTGAACCAAGGCCGCGTGCGTGTGTGTGATGATGTGGGGAAGAGAGAGGCGAGCGGGCCGGGGAGTTGGAAGGAATTCCCCGTGGAAACTGTCTCGGGATTACGCGGAGACAGAGAGACAGACGGACAGAGGGAGAGACAGACAGAGAGAGACAGAGAGAGACAGAGAGAGAGACAGAGAGATAGACAGAGAGAGAGACAGAGAGACAGAGAGACAGAGAGACAGACAGGGGCACGTGGATGGGAGGACGAACGCCATCATGAGGACATCGCCGCATCGACCCGGACCCAGTGGGCAGGGCTCCATGCAGCAGTGGAGAGACCAAGGCTGCCGATGACGACATTGATCCACGAAAACAATTCTTCCCCACCTCCCAGCCGACCTCACCTGTCTGCCGACGTTCCGATCCTCCACCCTCCTGGGAGTCCCGCGGGGGAGTCGAGGAGAGTCGGGGACTCAATCACAACCACCTGACGGAGATTAACGAATCGTTCTCTCTCTCCGTGTCTCTCTCCGTGTCTCTCTCCGTGTCTCTCCCCGTGTCTCTCCCTCTCCGTGTCTCTCCCCCCGTGTCTCTCTCTCCCCGTGTCACTCCCCCCGTGTCTCTCTCCCCCCGTGTCACTCTCCCCGTGTCTCTCTCTCTCCCCGTGTCTCTCTCTCTCCCCGTGTCTCTCTCTCCCCGTGTCACTCTCCCCGTGTCTCTCTATCCCCGTGTCTCTCTCTCCCCCCGTGTCTCTCTCCCCCCGTGTCACTCTCCCCGTGTCTCTCTCTCTCTCCCCGTGTCACTCTCCCCGTGTCTCTCTCTCCCCCTGTGTCACTCTCCCCCCGTCACTCTCCCCGTGTCTCTTTCTCCCCGTCACTCTCCCCGTGTCTCTCTCTCTCTCCGTGTCTCTCTCTCCCCGTGTCTCTCTCTCCCCCGTGTCACTCTCCCCGTGTCTCTCTCTCCCCCCGTGTCACTCTCCCCGTGTCTCTCTCTCCCCCCGTGTCACTCTCCCCGTGTCTCTCTCTCCCCCCGTGTCACTCTCCCCGGCTCGCGCTGTTCAGGAGCGCGCCGTGGTCGACCCGTGGCTTTATAGGAGACGCCGCGCAATGATTGGATAGCTTGCCGGTCATGTGATGTTCTAACTCTCTCTCTCCCTTTCTCATTTACTCTCTCCAACGCTCTCCCTCCAGCACCTCGCACGCTCTCTCTCTCTCTCTCTTCGTCTTTCACTCTCCCTCCCATCTCACATCACACGTCTCTCTCTCTCTGACTCACTCTCACACCTCCCCCCCCCGTCCATGCACTCTCGGGACGTGCTGCGAGCCACGCAGGAGCTGCGTCTGCAGCTGGAGGCGACGGACGAGAGTGGCGGGCGCCTCCCCCGCGCTCAGCCTCCCGGGCGCAGCGACTCTGGGGACGCGGCTGGAGCTCGGAGGCTGCGGGGCCGCGTCTCCGAGGAGCCCCCAGGGAGCGCCCCCAGGGAGCGCCCCCAGGGAGCGCCCCCAGGGAGCGCCCACAGGGAGCGCCCCAAGGGAGCGCCCCCAGGGAGCGCCCCCAGGGAGCGCCCCCAGGGAGCGCCCCCAGGGAGCGCCCCCAGGGAGCGCCCACAGGGAGCGCCCCCAGGGAGCGCCCCCAGGGAGCGCCCCCAGGGAGCGCCCACAGGGAGCGCCCCAAGGGAGCGCCCCCAGGGAGCGCCCTCAGGGAGCGCCCCAAGGGAGCGCCCCAAGGGAGCGCCCCAAGGGAGCGCCCCCAGGGAGCGCCCCGAGGGAGCGCCCCAAGGGAGCGCCCCAAGGGAGCGCCCCAAGGGAGCGCCCCCAGGGAGCGCCCCCAGGGAGCGCCCCAAGGGAGCGCCCCCAGGGAGCGCCCCGAGGGAGCGCCTGGCTCGAGGCACGGCTCCGGCTGGAGCACGCGAGCCACTCCCGTGCCGGTGACGCGCTCCGTGTGGTCTCTGGACGGGGGGGCGGTGGGCGTGACCTCTGCGCCAGCGACAAGGGCGTTCTGCATTTCTAACGAGCCGATTCGTGGAGCGTGGCGTGCGTGACCACGTGGTGTGTGTGTTGTGCGTGTGACGTGGGTCGTGTGTTGTGACGTGGGTCGTGTGTTGTGACGTGGACACGTGGTGCTGTGCTCCACGTGGTTTGTATCGAAATCGGCTCCAGTGCTTTTGCTGCTGCAGCAATGAAAGTGAAAGTTTGAAAGTCAAAAGTCGAACTCTGTCTAAACCTCTCTATCTCTCACGATCTCTCTCTAACGCCCTCTCTCCCTCCTGCCATCACCACTACCATCACGACCACAAATACCAGCATCATTATCACCATGACCACCACCATCACTACCAGCATCACGAGCGCAGTGCATAGACCCGCGTGGTGAAGTATGGTCAACGACAACCCCCACCCAATGACAGACGCGACACTGGGGAGGCTTTCATCCAGCAGTGGATTAACAATGCATCGTGGATATGACTACGCACAAAGACAAAGGTCACCCATAGGGTGTTGGGGCAAGTGCACATAGCGAGTGTGTGTCTGTGTGTCTGTGTATTGTCGTGGGGAGCGATAGTGTAGCGGTTAGCGCTACGCTGCGCTATGAACCCAACCACCCAGGTTCGATTCCCGCTCACGGCCAACACCAGTGCCGATTATCTGAACTGGTCCTGGGCCTCCCCAAGGTCGACGCGGCCTCAAATGAGTACCTGGTGCGGTGTGTATGAAAAATCGTCACTGGGGAGACAAAAGCGGCCGGGCGTGGTGCTGGCGACCCACCCCCTCGTGTGCCGCAGTGGCAGCCTAGGCGCTGTTACTCGCTAGCAATCACTTGCCCTAACACAGTTGGCTACACGGGGCATCTTTGTCTTTGTGTGCTGGGTGTGCTGGGTGTGCGTGTTGTGTGCGCGTGTTGTGTGTGCGTGTTGTGTGTGTGCGTGTTTTGTGTGTGCGTGTTGTGTGTGCGTGTTGTGTGTGCGTGTTGTGTGTGCGTGTTGTGTGTGCGTGTTGTGTGTGTGCGTCTTGTGTGTGTGCGTGTTGTGTGTGCGTGTTGTGTGTGCGTGTTGTGTGTGTGCGTGTTGTGTGTGCGTGTTGTGTGTGCGTGTTGTGTGTGCGTGTTGTGTGTGCGCGTGTTGTGTGTGCGTGTTGTGTGTGCGTGTTGTGTGTGTGCGTGTTGTGTGTGCGTGTTGTGTGTGCGTGTTATGTTGTGTGTGCGTGTCGTGTGTGCGTGTTGTGTGTGCGTGTTGTGTGTGTGCGTGTTGTGTGTGCGTGTTGCGTGTGTGCGTGTTGTGTGTGCGTGTTGTGTGTGTGCGTGTTGTGTGTGCGTGTTGTGTATGCGTGTTGTGTGTGTGCGTGTTGTGTGTGCGTGTTGTGTGTGCGTGTTGTGTGTGTGCGTGTTGTGTGTGTGCGTGTTGTGTGTGCGTGTTGTGTGTGTGCGTGTTGTGTGTGCGTGTTGTGTGTGTGCGTGTTGTGTGTGTGCGTGTTGTGTATGCGTGTTGTGTGTGTGCGTGTTGTGTGTGCGTGTTGTGTGTGCGTGTTGTGTGTGCATGTTGTGTGTGTGCGTGTTGTGTGTGTGCGTGTTGTGTGTGCGTGTTGTGTGTGCGTGTTGTGTGTGCGTGTGTTGTGTGTGCGTGTTGTGTGTGTGCGTGTTGTGTGTGCGTGTTGTGTGTGCGTGTTGTGTGTGCGTGTTGTGTGTGCGTGTTATGTGTGCGTGTTGTGTGTGTGCGTGCGTGTTGTGTGTGTGCGTGTTATGTGTGTGCGTGTTGTGTGTGTGTGCGTGTTGTGTGTGTGTGCGTGTTGTGTGTGTGCGTGTTGTGTGTGTGCGTGTTGTGTGTGCGTGTTATGTGTGCGCGTGTTGTGTGTGCGCGTTGTGTGTGTGCGTGTTGTGTGTGCGTGTTGTGTGTGCGTGTTGTGTGTGCGTGTTGTGTGTGTGCGTGTTGTGTGTGCGTGTTGTGTGTGCGTGTTGTGTGTGTGTGCGTGTTGTGTGTGTGCGTGTTGTGTGTGTGCGTGTTGTGTGTGCGTGTTGTGTGTGTGCGTGTTGTGTGTGCGTGTTATGTGTGCGCGTGTTGTGTGTGCGCGTTGTGTGTGTGCGTGTTGTGTGTGCGTGTTGTGTGTGCGTGTTGTGTGTGCGTGTTGTGTGTGTGCGTGTTGTGTGTGCGTGTTGTGTGTGTGCGTGTTGTGTGTGTGCGTGTTGTGTGTGGTGTGTGTGCGTGTTGTGTGTGTGTGCGTGTTGTGTGTGTGCGTGTTGTGTGTGCGTGTTGTGTGTGTGCGTGTTGTGTGTGTGCGTGTTGTGTGTGTGCGTGTTGTGTGTGTGTGCGTGTTGTGTGTGTGTGCGTGTTGTGTGTGCGGGAAGACGGGGAGGGGAGGAGGGGGTTCGGGGGTGGGAGGGCGATGAGGGCGATGAGGTGGGGGTTAGGGGGGAGATGGGGGGCGAATGAGGGAGCTGTCTCCAATCTCGATTTCTCGGCGTCTATTTTGCTGCCATTATTTAATTTTACGCGCTTGGGCTCACACGCAACACGGAGAGAGTAGAGAGAGAGGTGGGGGGTGATGAAGGGGAGGGAGATAGATCAGAGAGGGGAGAACGCGAGAGACATTGAGAGAGAGAGAGCGAGCGGGGTGGGAGCGAGCGGAGAGAGGGAACTTCAGAGACGAGGGAGAGAGAGAGAGGAGAGAGGGAAGAGAAGGCGAAGGGGGGTCGTGGAGAGATGAAAGAGAGAGGGGTGGGGAGAGAGGGGGGGGAGACCGTTTAGCTACCACGGAGAGCGACAAAGAGAAACAGCGGTGGTGGAAAACGGGATTAGGGGCCACGGCGGGGGGGGGGGGGCTAGGGGGGTGGAGGGGGGGGGCTCAATTGGTCTCGTGGTTGGAGCCGAAATGGGAAACCCTGGGGGGCGAGGGCGGTAAAGAAAGAGAGAGAGAAGGGAGAGAGAAGGGAGAGCGAGAGAGAGAGAGAGCGACATGGAGTAGGAAGAGAGGGGGTACAGAAAGAGGGGGGCAGAGAGGGGGGTAGAGACAGAGGGAAGGGGTAAGGAGAGCAGAGCGAGAAATATTTTGTTAAATATTTCATTTATAAAGGGGCGGGGGGGGGTTACATAAAGCAAAGCATAAAAAACCGAAATGATGAAGGAAGCAAAGTGCCGACTACACCGAGCATCTTCTTGTTTCCACTGATCGTAAAAAAAGAGAAAAGAGAGAGAGAGGAGATAGAGGAGGGAATGGAGAGAAGGGAGAGAGAGAGAGAGGAGGTAGAGCAGGCAGAGCCAGAGGAGGAACCACCGCAGAGGAACTGGGTCGAGCTGGAGGAGAAGGTGAAGGCGCGGCTGGGCACCTGGAGTCGCCTGCGCAAGTTCCTCACCTTCAGGACAAAGACGTTGGTGGTGAACCAGCCGGTGACGTCCATGCTGTGGCACCGACTCTTCTCCCTGCACCCCCCATGAGCCTCGTCAACGCGCTTCAGAAGCAAGTCCTCGACTTCTTCTGGTCGGGCGGAGGACACCGGGTCGCGGCTGGGGTCCTGTCCCTGCCACTGGACGAGGGCGGTCACGGGCTGGTGTGCGTGCGGAGTCAGGCTGGCCACCTTCCGACTGCAGGCCCCGCAAAAGTTCCTGCACCCTGCCCCTGCACCGGCCTGGAGCGTCACGGCCTCCTTCCTCCTGAAACAGCTGGGGGGTCTGCAGTGCTCCAAACAACTATTCTACTTGGACCTGCAGGGCCTCCCACTGGGACAGCTGCCATCTTTCTACAGGAGCGTCCTGCAGACGTGGAGCTCCCTCGCCGTCAGGAGGCTGAACCAACTGCGATCAGCTGAGGATTTGGTCTCCGAACCGATCCTCAGGAACCCGCAAACAAAGCTGCCATCCACCACCGCCACCCCCGGCATGGAGAGGCGCCTCACCAACGCGCGGCTCACCAGGATGAGAGATCTGGTGGAGCCTGGAACACGGGGCCGGTGGATCGGACCGGCAGACATGGCCGCAAAGACAGGGCTGCAGTCGCTGCGGGTGGCTGCCCGGATCCTGGCCGAAGCCGAGGGGCCTTCTCAGCGGCAGCGGGGAGAACGCCCCCCATCGACATCGGGGATGACGAGGCCCCTCTCGGTCCCCCTCCACCGGAGCTCTCCGTCGTGCCCCTGAGTCGCCACTGCCGACAAACAAAGGCAGATTACGACCTGTGCCGGCTCAGAGAAAGATGGCCTTCACAAATGTAAAGAGGAAGGTGGTCTACTCCTACATGGTCCGGTTTCACCAAGAGGACACCCTGAGGAGCCACAAGGACCATGCCTGGACGAGAGCCCTACCCTGCATCTCTCCAGAAAGGCCTCTCTGGAGGCAACTCTACTCCAGCCCGACGTACAACCGCATCGGCGACCTCAGCTGGAGCATCGCCCACGGCACCGTCACCACCAACGCCTCCCTGGCGCGCTTCACCGACACGTCCCCGGAGTGCCGGTTCTGCGGTAAAGTGGAGACGGTGGCGCACCAATACGTGAAGTGCAAGAGCCTGGACTCGCTGTTCAAGGTCCTCAAAAACATCCTCCTAAGGTTCAGCCTCCACTTCTCCCCGACGGTCCTCATCTTTGGATACCCGACGGGCGACGGACCTCAACATCTCCAGGGGCTGGTCAACGTACTCGTGGGCTACGGCAAGCTCGCCATTTACAGGGCGGGGAAGGTGGCCCTGGAGGGGAAACGTCCGGCCAGCAGCCTGGGCATCTTCCGTGCTTTGGTCAGTAACAGGGTGAGTGGGCTGAAGTTCCGCCGTGCGCGGCTGACCCACGCCGTGCCGGCCTTCATGGAGCAGTGGGCGCTGGAGGAGGCCGTGTGCTCGGTGGCAGAAGACGGGGAGCTCTGCGTGTAGATATGAGCTACCCGTCGGAGGCCGTATGACTGCGAGATAGTGCTGGGTGCAGATGCAGCACTTGTCGTCGTAAAAAAAAATCACAA